GCCAGGGACGTGCGGGGCCAGCGTCCCCCTTTCCCCTTTGCTGCCCTGTCCCTAATTCGGCTTCGTGAGGCTTTTCTGGGCTGTCAGCTGCGCCGTTGGGGCTGGCCGCGGAGGGCGGGAGTCCAGAGGCACAGGGTGGCATGTGGGAAGGGCTTGGCAGAGCGCAAGGGTGTCGGCAGCCCTTCCCAGCCTCCAGCAGGGGCTCGGAATGTTCTGGCCCACTTTGGAGTCTGAGGCAACATGTCAGAAGAAAAAGTACTTAAAGAGGTTTTGGAGTGTGGCCCCAGGGGGAACATAGCAGAATGCCCAGGGCAAGGTCCCTCCAGGAAAAGCACGTGAGCTCCGAGGAGCGGGGCTGGGGCCTGGCGCCTGGGTGCTCCCAGGGGACACCATCTCAGGACTCGTGTGACAGGACAGCTGACCCAAGGGTGGCATTCCCCAGAAACGAACTGGAACTTGGTCTCTGTGTGCTCCCTGATGGACCGTTGCTGTGTGCCTCAGTTTCCCTGTCTGCAAAAGGGATAATTGGAATCCATCAGAGTCACAAATCAGTCTCGGTTGTTTTCTTTTTACATTTTAAATTGTTTCTCTATTTTAAAATGGGAATATATTACAAAAAAACTTGTATTTTCAAGCTGTTTTTTAAAAAAATCAGAATGTCCGGAAATCCCTGGCCTGCACGGCAGTGGTCTGTAAGGCAGTGGCCCCCAACTCCTGGCTCTCCCCTCCTCTGACCTGACCATGTGCCCCTCGGGCATCCGGGCTTGCGGCAGCCCTCGCCCTGGCCTCGCGCTTCCCGGGCTCTGCGCGATCGGGCCCCTGGGGCTCTGGGAGAAGCGTGCCAAGGGGCGGCGGTGACCCCGGGAGCCGCCGCCCCTCCGCCCTCGCTTTCCTGGTCTATTAAAAGAAGGGCTTGGTCGAGAGCATCAATGAGATCCTTTCAAGTTCTCACTTCTGTGACTCCACAAAAATGCCACTTGCCGGAGTTCCGTGGAACTGTGATCCAGACGCTGTGGAATTTGGCTGCCCCACTCCCTGCACTCTCCTCGGGGGAGAGGGAGGAGAGGGGGAAAGAAAGGACGGGGGACCCTGGCTAGTGAAATCCGGGAAGTCTGTGGCTCTCAACGCGCGCCAAGCCTCAGTTTCCTTTCCAGGCCCAGCTTGGGTGCTGGTGGGGTTGGAAGAGGCCGCCCGGGCTCCCGGGATCCTGGCAGGGTCAAGCTCTTGGAACTCCTCCAACCCCGCCCTTTCCAGAAGCCGGGGCTCTGGGCGGAAGCTGAGGGTGTATGCAGGCGGCGCTCGCAGGGTGGAGGCATGGCGGGTCCGGCCACTCCGCGCCGGGCAGACTCTCAGAAAGGGGCCGGCCAGGCAGGGAGCTGGGGCAAGCCCCTCGGCAGGAGCGGCCATGCCGGGGGCCAAAGGCTCCGTGGTCACCCCGGCTCTTTCCTAGCTGACCGACTGTGTTTATTCCCGCCTCGGTTTCCTCATTTGTCAAATGGGCTTGAAACGAACAAAAACAAGCGCACAGAGTAAGCCTGTTGTGTCTGACCCCTAGGGGGAAAATCATTGGAAAACAGAAGCCAGGTCCTTGGAGAGGGACGAATGCCCCACCAGGTGGCTGGCAGGGTCCCTGGGAGGGTCCTCTGTGGTGCCCGCCTCACATTTTCTCTGGGATGACCGTCTCCCCCGCCTGGTGTCCCTGGGCCGCCTGGCCCACCCTGGCAGACGGCGACCCGCACCGCGCCCTCGGAAGCAGACGACCCCGGGGAGGACGCGCCCGCTGGGGCTCACACCCCTGCCAGCTGCTGCCCTGGGGTCCCCACACGAATCTCCCCTGTCAGCTGGGTACGATGTCCCTTGGCGGCTGGGGGGACCCCCCAGGGCCCCCGAGTGTTGTCAGGACTTGGGAACAGGCCCCTGTGCAGGTCCTTGGAGAGCTGCCACTGGGGCTGCGGGCGCAGCGCGGAGACCTGCAGGGCCAGGGACGTCGGCTCCCACGGGCGGCGCTGGGAAAGGACCCGGCCCTGGAAGGGCCCTGGATTCCGAGGCCTGACCCTGAAGTCCTGCCCCGTCCTGGGCGGAGGGTGCTGGCAGCCGACCGTTCCGTTCCCCTGAGCCTCAGTTTCTTTACCTGCAGCACAGGAGAGCGTGCCTGCGGCCCCTTGCAGCAGCACCCAGAGAAGAGGTGGGACGAGACCGCTCCCGGCTTGGACGGTGGCTGGGGGGAAGGAACACCCTGCACTCTGGAACCAGGCGGGCCAGAATTTGAATCCCAGTCCTGCTGTGTGGCCCTGGGCAAGCGGTGGCACTTCTTTCGGCTTTTACTGTCCCTGTATAAAATGGGGACAGTGTTCAGACCTCACAGAGGCGTTTGCAAGATTAAAACTAAAAAAGGATAACACATAAAATGTGAAGAGCAGAGCCCGGCACACAGCAGGTGCTTAATACTCGTCGTTGCTAGTATTTTCCACAACCTTTTGCTGTGGCTCATTTCTTCCAGCCAGGCAGCTCTGGGCAGCCCCGCCGGGGCTGGCTCCTGGCGCCGCAGGGAGCACAGAGCCACCTGGCTGAGGCAGAGGGACGTCGGCGCCAGTCCCTGCCAGGGCGGGTGCTTCGTGCTGCTACCTGGCTCTGCTTGCTCGGTGTTGCGGTGTCTGTCCCGCCTGGGCAACTGTCCCCAGCATCCCTTATTCCTGACCAACCTCCTCCCTAACTCCTGGGCCTGGCCGTGACCGTTCCCTTTCTTGCCTGCCTCAATCCTGAGTGACAGGGGTGTGGGGTCCAAGGGCCTGGGTACCCCACCTTGAAGGAGTCGGTGGTGGCTTACGGGCGGTGTGAGGCCAGCACAGGGCTCCCCGAGGCGGCTCCTGTCCTCTGTCCCCCAACCCCCACCCTGCAGAAATGGACTCACGGCCGCCTCGGGCAGCTGACTGCCGCCGCCTGTGATTTCTCCTGCAGGCAGCCCCAACAGGACCACTTTGAACTCCCAATAGCTCCTCCTGCAGCACCTCAACCAAGGGCACAGGCAAGCTCTGCAGCTAGACTGCCTGAGCCCCAACTCCCAAGGCAGAGACCAGCGAGCTGTGTGGCCTTAGATAGGGGATGAAGTCTTTGGGTGTCTCATTTTCCCTCCGTATAAAAATTCTACCTCTCAGAATCTTCCTGTGAATTAAATGAGATAATACGGTCCTTGGTACATAGTAAATCCTCACTATGCAGTCATCTTTGCTTTTGTTCCATGCCTCTGCAAATATCCACCTTAGGCTGATGTCCAAGTCCCCTCCCCTCCCCTGCCTTGGTGCTTCTTGGGGGGCGTGATTCTCCCATGAACTGTCAATCTTTGGACCTGAATTTGGGATGTCTGAGGACTGACCTGGCGAGAAATGAGGGGTGAAGAACTGCATGGACCTCGCCAGAGCCCGAGCTTGGCAGTCTGTCGCCCCTCACCTGCACTCCCTGGCCTGGGCTGAGGAAGCAGAGAGGTCGCCAGCGTGGGTAGATACGACCTCGTCCTGAGTTCCCTGCCTTTGGAAGCACCCCTTTTTCTCCCTGCACAAACAATGGTGAACTAAGCACGCACCTGAGCCAGGAATGGGCCAGTGGCGGTTTCCAGGCCTCCCTCTCTCCTCTGACAGGGGCCTAAGCTTCTGAGTTCAGGACAACGTTTCCCCTTCCTACCCCCAAGCCCTGGTGACCAGGGACCCCTGCCCGTGTGCCACTCAGCCTTCCCAAGTTTACATCGGTGGGTATGTCCATCTGGTAGGACAGAAGGGAGAGGGTGGCCTTTGTCTGATGCCCCACGCAGGTGTGCAGCTCTGCAGGCCAGCGGCCCCTGGACCGGGAGGCCTGCGCAGGGCTGACGCCGTGGCGGCCAGCTTCAGGCCACGACGGGTGCAGTTTGGACGCCCATGTCAGGCGGCTGGACTGGCTGTGGGGGGCACATGGCCGTGTGAGAAGGGGCTGGCCGGGAGAACTGGGCCCCCACTGGGCATGTGCTGGGCCCAGCCCCAGCCGATCTCCCGGGTCTGGTCTGCAGAGGGAGAGAGCGGTTGCGAGCTGGAGCTTGGCAAAGGCGCACACAGCTTCATCCCAGCGAAGCCTGGGAGCCCCAGGGCGCGCCCGCCGCCCTGCAGCCCTGTGGACGTGGCCCGTTACCTCCTCCTCCTCCTTCCTCATCTTTGCAAGGGCACAGCACTGTTGTTTCATTTTGCACTTACTTGGTTTTTACTGAAGTTGAAAATATTTTTATGTGTGTATTGGCCACTCCTGTTATTTCTGTGAATTGCTTGTTCCTCTAGACTGATCTTTTTGTGTTTGCTTTTGCTTTCTTTTGCCTGGGTGCAGGAGTTCCCAACTGAACGGTGACTAAGGGTTGAGCGAGGATGTGGGCATCCTGCCTTCCAGAGGTTTCTCAGGTGGAAGGACATGGGCCAGCTGGCCTGAAAACTCTGGGAGTGCACGAGCTTCCCTCCCCGCGGGCCGAGGGCGGGACGTGTTGCCCCAGACAGTTTCACTGGGAGATTGAACAACCGCTTGCCTTGGTACGCAGGGCTGAGCCAAATGATTCTGGTGGTTTCCCTGGTGCCCAGATTCCATGAATGAGGGGCAATTTGGGGGCCAAACTCAGACATGGCCCAGCTTCCACGCCCGAGCTCTGCCCTGCCCTGCAATTAGGGCGGGGTGATGCTCAGAGCCGGGGAGGCTGGGAGGCCGAGGACAGGCAGACTCAGCGTGCACGCCCCAGACCGGCTGCACCTGTGGCCGCCGGTGCCTTTGCTGTCCTTTGCCTTTCCCTAGAAGTTTTCCCGCCTCAGAAATATGGACCACCAGAGCTAGAGAGATACGTAAAAGATTTTCCAGAGTGAGGAGAGGAGCCGAACCAAAAAAGAAAAGGAAAAACTAAGATGGGCACACACAATTGTAATCACATTTAGGCACAGTGAAAAGCTATACATTTGTGCAGGATATCTAAAAACAAAATAAGCATTTTTTATGAAAGATTGATTTCCCCAAATTGTTCTATTAAAACTGTTTGTTAAAGAATGGTTAAAGGTGGTGCTTTGGATTGAACGTGTGTGTGTCCCCCAAAATTCTTACGCTGAAACCCTAATCCCGGTGTGATGGTGTTGGGAGGTAGGGCCTTTGGGAGGCGATTAGGTCATGAGATGAGGGCGAGCCCCACGAATGGGATTAGTGCCCTCACAAAAGGGACCCCAAAGAGGCTCTCTAGCTCTCCTCCCACCAGAGAGGACACAGTGCGAGGGCAGCAGTCTGCAGTCCCGAAGACAGCCCTCCGCGGAACGCAACTGTGCGGCGCCCCATGGCAGACTTTCAGCCTCCGGGACGGCGCGGAGTGAGTTTCCGCGTCTGTGTAAGCCAGTCTACGGTGCCTTGTTACAGCGGCCCGGACTGACTCACACATGCGCGATGGGGATCTTCACCTTCATCCCGTAGTTTGCAGAAGGGGAAACTGAGGCCCCAAGCAGGCACATGACTGCCACACACAGCAAGTGGCATTTGGTCCTGAATCTTCTGCCTCCAAATCCGGGTCACTTTTCTGTGATATCTGGCTCCAGTAATGGGACAGCCAAGGTCTGCTTCTTGCCTATAGGAAATAGTTTTTGGAATTGAAAATATAAATCATAAAACAGGCCATTAAGAGATAGACAGCCAAAGGAGAAGTATTCCCATTTCACTCTGACCTCCTTCCACAGGCCGCCATTGTCAACGTGTTGGAAAATTGTCCTTTTTTCCTTCACTTTATAGAGTATATGTATATAATTTATATAGGAAGCATGTGTGCACATACGCGTGTGTCGTGAAGCTTTGGGGGTGTCTTTGGGAGCCCCTGTGCAGCCGCTCCAAAGCTGGCCCCTCACACGGAGTCCAGTGGGACGGCGAGAGGGGCTGGAGGGTGGTCTCCCAGCTTGTATCAGAGTCAAGACTTAAAGAGAGTTCTGGAATCTTCTCTTCTTACTGAAGGGCCTCAAAAGACCTTTTTTCCCCCTTAGAAGTGGAATGCTGGCTTTCTGACATCACTACCCTTCCATTCCAGAATATTCTCTCCCAGGTTCTCAGTGTCCTTGGAATCTTCCTGATCTCGATCGCTGGGCAGAGCTCCCCCCTCTCCAGAGCACTTTTGCGCCGCATGTCTCACGGACGTCACGGTGCTCCTGGGGGGTGGCGGGACCAGCCAGGCCCTGGCCCCCCACGGAGGCTGATGCCTGGGGTGTCGGCAATGCCAGCGGTCCCCGAGCTGGTCACGGTCAGGACTTTGGGACTTCAGACTCCAAGGCCCGGGCTCGCTCCCCTCTCAGCAGTGTGTGGGGGGCGGGGAGCCGCTTCCTCAGAAGGGCCGGGCGGGGCAGGGCTCCGGGTGACACGGAGGCTGGGCTGGGGCCGGGGCAGGGGCCTGAGCTCAGAGCACGGCTCAGACCCGCCAGGCGGCCACTCGGGGGGCGGCCATCCCCACCCCCAAACTCCGCTGCCGCCTTTGCTTGCCGAGTCCAGCCCCACCCGAACCTCGGGCTTTCCGGGGCGATAAATCTTTATTTTCCAGGGTTGTCCTGAATGCGTGACTGTGCGAGCAGAGCCATCTTCACGGGCCATTTCTCTTAACCGGCTGGCAGTGCCGCCCGCCTGCCCTTGGCGGAGTCAGGAGGACAGTTGCCTCTGCTGCCTGCTCACCTCCCTCTTGGCCCACACGCCTGCCGGCATCCTCCCAGCGCCCCCGTCCCCAGTCCTGGCACCCCGTATCGGGCCTTAGTGACCACCCGACCCAGCGCGGCCACGCCCTACATCTCACTGCGTGTCCATGAGCTGCAGATGGAGGGAAAATTCACAACAAAGCCAAAAACCGAGCCCGCAGGCAGCCAGCGCCGACTCTGGCTGGGCCCGATGGCAGTTCGGGCGGGAGGAGCGGGGCGGAGGAGCCAGCGCCAGGCAGCGCCGCGGGTCCGCGAACCCGGCCGCTGCGCCCGCTTCCCCCTTCCACCCTTCCCGGCTCATCCGGGCCTCTCTCCTTCTCCCGGATTAGCCCCGGCACTGGTTCGCTGTCTGATTGGTCTCGAGAAATCAGTCCTGGAATTTGAGCCTCAACTCTCCTACGTGCCTCTCTCTTTCCTCCTAATTGCCACCACTTTCTCCTTTTCCTTTGTACCCGGGAGAGCTGGCCATCTTTTTCTCTATCTTGCTGATTTGTTTTTCTGGGTCATTAAATCTATTTTTAATTGTTTATTCCAACGCTGTTTTTAATTCAAATATTGTGGTTTTAGTTACGTTGTCATTTTTCCATTTCTCACCCATTTCCCTTTTTATATCATCTTGTTACTTCATTTTAAAATGCAATATATATTCTCTTCCCAAGACTTTCTGCCGTTCCTTTCTACAGATCGTGCCTTCTCTCCTCCTCAGCTCCCCGGGACAGCGGCGTGTCTAGCTGGGGCGGGCTGGGTGGGGTCCCAGGCCGGCCTCTAGTGCCTGAGTTGTCACCCTGTGCTGCAGGCTCAGAGTCCCCTTCCTGCCCTGGCTCTCCGGTGCGCTGAGCTGCTGGGGGGTGAGGGTGTCTCCCCAGCATGCTCCGGTTGTCACTGCGGCTCCTTTGGCCCCAGCTCCAGCCAGCCGGTGAGAAGGGCACGTCCCAGAATGCATTTTCCACCTACCCCGGCCTACCCCGTCCATAGTTTACGGTTTTCTGCTTGGTTGTAGACAGATGGTGACAGAGGACGGGAGTGCTGTGAGAAGGGGAGGTAGCAAGGTTTCTGCTGCGGAGGACAGCTCTCAAGAGGCGGAAGGAGCGGCTGGCCCCACTTCTGGGGGGGCAGACCCTGGGTCAGGGATGGCACGGGTGGGAGAGCGGATGTGAAGCCTCTTCCTGCCTGTTCCCAGCAGGCCTCTGTTTGACAGGGGCACCTGGGTGGACAGGTGCGAGTGCTGGGGGTCTCCCCATTGCCCACGTTCCTGACACACCTAGAAGTTCACAGGCTCATTGCTGGGCCCCTCACTCTTTTGAGCTGGATGGCTCATGATCCAATTTTCAGTGCACATTTACTGTTTACTTGCCCCACCTCCACCCCGCCACACTCACTTCCTTGTCTTCCCGCAACAGCTCCTGCCCAGACTTGGGGTCCAGCCTTCTCGTAGTGTGGTGGCTTGGGTGGGCTCTGGAGGTGGAACACACGACCTGACCCAAGCCAATCGGCGCTTCGCCTTCCCCTGACCACAGCGTTGGGTTCAGGGCTGGGCTTGTCACCAGAGACTGGTACAAGCAGAATGAGGTTCAGGACTTCTGTGGAAACTTCTGGAAAGGAGACACAGGTGTCCTTGCTAGACCTGAGCCTGAAGTCTTGTGAGCTGAGCCTCAAATGACACATTGGAGCTCGAGAGCAAAGCTGAGGACTGGAGAGGGGGCATCATATACTGAGTACAGCAAGGAGCCCTGATCCAGCCTTGCCTGAAGCTGGCCTACCCTTAGATCCTTTAGCAAAAGAACTAATACATTCTCTTTTATGTTTAAACCCCTTTGGGTCAGATTGCCAGTTACCTGAAGTAGAATGAGTCTTCATCAACACAAGCGTGATCACAGGAAAAGAAAAAATGACCAAATATAATAAGAAGGATATATTCCTAGGTATGTATAGTGTTATCTTTGGGTGGTAGGATTGGTTATTTCTATTTCCCTCTTTATTTTTTATTTCGTTTTCCTACATATATTTAACAGCATGTCTTCTTTTTTAAAAAAATTAAAACAGCAAGCAGACCAGAAAACCCCCTAATAAGTACTATATTAACATTTTGCTTCCTCCATGTGGGAAGGCGAAGAGGCAAAGGGGACCGTGCTCATCCTCACTGAACCCATGGGGGAGCCAGGCACTCCGGGGTGCGGGGCCAGGCAGCCCCACTGGCCCGCGACACACATCTGAGGAGCCCTCCTTGATGCTGACCAGGGAACTCCCTCTCTGTGGGCTGAGACGCAAACTCGCGGGGCTCTTCTCTCCAGAGAGGGCAGGAGCTGAAAGCGGAAACGGTTTCAAGAGGTTCTGAAACATCCCCGACCGCGGGTCTGTAGCAGACTGGGAGGGGGGTCGCGGTGCGGGGCTTCCTCTGGCCTGGGGGAGGCGTCGGGGAGCCCTCAAACCCTCGCTGGAGGCTAGGCTGGAGGCTAGGCGCAGGGGCACCAGGGTGTCACACGAGTCACAGTGGGCTTGTCTGTGCTTCCCCGTCAGGAATTTGGCCAGACAGGCGGCGCCCACTGCCCACGCCACAGCCGGCCACTCCGGGCTCGGGGGAGCACGCGTGTGTTAGCACTTGCCTCACCCTGAGGGGACAGAGCGCAGAGCTCGGAGGAGCTGCTGTGGCCTGCGGCAGCCCTGGACCCCGGGTCATGCCGGCTGTTGCTGTGGGCACAGAACCCCAGCCAAAGGCACTCGATACCGCTTCTGTCTGTGCATCCAGGAAACTGAGTGGAGACAAAAAAGGGGGAAAAAGTTAAACTGGAGTCAGCCTGGGCCAGAGAATTCCTGTGTGTGCAAGGTGTGTGTGTGTGTGTGTGTGTGTGTGTGTGTGTGTGTGTTTTGGAAGTCATGCAAGATGTTGTCTATCCTCATGTGACACTTGGTATCTGTTTTTCTACAGCAGTGCCCCATTGTGTTCTAGTTCTTGAAAGAGGCAGTGAGGAAATGTGTTTACAGTGAAATTCATTTGGGAAATAATTTATGTATGTTACAGTCCTCTCTTGGAGAACTACAAAGTATGTTAGCATATTAAAGGCTCTGAGAAGTCCTGCAGTGTAGGAACGTAGTTGAGTGAATGATCATGGAACTCGTTTTGGGCGCGTCACTCACATGCTGGATGGAATGGAGTGTGAGGGGTGTGCAGAGGGTGACCACTCCCTGAAACGTGCATAGGGGCCGCCTAGAGAAAGGTGGAGCTTTGGGCATGGATGGGTGAACCAGCCAACTGGATTGTGCAATTCAGCCTTAGAGCACTTAAAGCATAAGGTCGACTGTAAGATCTTGGAGTTCACCTGGTTTAAACATTTCATTTTGCAGAGAGGGACATTGAGGTCCACAGAGGGGAATTGAGTTACACATTATCACCAGTTGGAGCTCTTGACTCTACACCATAGATGACAATGCTGAATACCTAAGAACAAAGAGATTTGATGGGAGAATTTGGGGAAGCCCACTGAACCCACTGGGAGCCTGGAGAATCGGGGAGAGAAAATGGGCAGGAGCCAGGGGAAGGTGGGGTGCTGAGAGCACAGCCAGATCATGCCGTGAGATCGGATGAGCTCACTTTGGCTAGAGACCATGATTCATTAGGAATGGACCCATGGTGCTTTGCGTCCTTCCCAGCGGGAACAGCTGATTGGCTGGGCATAGGCCATGTCCCTCCCCTAACTCCCCACCCACAGCTGTTAGGGTCTGGGGGAACAGGTGTCTGGCTTTTTTGTATTTTGCAACTGAGGCCCGGAGCCCTCTCACCACGACTCACACAGGAAGGAAGCCATCCATCTGGGTGGGGCAGAATAAGGTCGCAAGTCCCATCTCCTGCCTTCTAGTTCATACTGTGCAGCCAACAATACTCGTTTATATAAACGTTTGAAATCTTGACGTCATTAGCAACATGGACCTTGACGAATTTCTACTTACCATGGTAGAATAATATTTTGAAATATCTTGAAAAACATTCAGCTACCCTGCTCTCCGTGGTGGTGGAGGTTCCCCTCTGCCTCACTCTCTACCCATGACCCCGGCTCAGGAGAAACAACCATGCAGCTTCTGAATTTCAAAACCCTCTGAAACCCATGGCAGAGACAATCATTCGAGAGTCTCAGAATCTTGCCTTCTGAGCATCCAAATCCTGGGCATGCAGGACTCGGGAGGACTCACGTATGATTTGTTAAACTATTTCTTTCCACTCGCCTGGACTAGATTAATGACTCCCTGAGCAAAAATAAATAAATAAATAAGAAGTCCTTAAAAGGAGATGCTGGCATGAGTGTCTGGGAATGGTCCTGCCCACACGTTCCATGCCCCCAAACCTTGAAGTTGAGGAGACTAGAATCTCCAATAGTTGGGGTATCTGAGAGTAGAGACAGTTACCCCACTCCCTGAGACAAGCTGGGGAGGTGGCGGCTCCATAGAGAAGGCCCCGTGTTCAGGGCAGTGAGGGACCAGAGACCAGGAGTGGCTGCCGAGCGCCCAGGCTGCCTCAGAACGCCCTCGCCCCCAGTACTGCTTGGAGAGCGGCAGGGTTTTTTTGGACGCATCTGGCGGTTCTGAGAGCCAGCAAGCCTGGAGGGCCCTGGGCTTGGGTGGTAGAGTGTGAGGCAGGTGTAAGTGGGCCAAGGGCAGGGATGAGGACCCCGCACCTGTCCACAGGGGTGGCTGCCGCCAAGGACCAGATGGGCAACGCCCAGCCCAGCAGAGGCCCATGTGAACAGGTGCCTGCAGGGAATCGGGCATCTTACCTGCGTGCCCTGACACGGCCTTCCCACCTCCCCAACTGAGTGCGTCTTCTGGGAGCAGGAGAGAAGGGGCACGCCCTGCCTCGACTAGAATGGAGGTTCTGGCAATGGGGGCTGGAGAGAGAAATGAGCTTTTTCTTTAAAAAAAATCTGAAATTCATTCTGATATAATGTAGTTTATACACAGAGTTAAAACTAATACACAGTATTTTTTTTTAAAAAAAAAAGGCTTTAAGCATATCTCATTATCAAACACTATCTGACTTTGATTTTCTTTACCCACGTCTGAGGTCAAAGTTCAAGTGATGGATGGCAGGTGGGTGGTTATGTCCTGTGACCAGGGGCTGGCACCGGCGGCTGTCTCTCGGCCGTGCTGAGGGTTCCACCCTGAGCCCACCAGCGTGGAGCATCTGGGCCTCCCGGGGCATATGCTCAGTGAGTCCCTCTTGTTCCTGGCCTGGGGACTGTGACCACAGGGTGAGACGGTGCTGGCGAGAGTCCTTGGAAAGCCCCCAATCTCTGCCTGTGACTGGAGGGGGGCGTTCAGCAGCCTCCCCCTGGGACTCGGGGGAGCCCCTCATCTGTAAAGCGAGGTCCCCTTGCTGTGCTCCTGACCGTGGTCACAGCTCCCATGCACCCTGCATCCACCACGGGCCGGCGTCCTCCCCGGGCCATCTTGTTTTGGCTCTGCCAGGTGCTGCAGTTCACAGGTGAGGACACAGGTTCACACAGGGGAAGGAACCTGCCAAAAGCCGGACACCCAGTTCATTGGATCTATGACTCCGTAGATGGTAGGACACACCATTATTTTATAAACAATAAAGGGAAAGCATTAACGACTATAACCGCAAGGCGTCACGGACGGTAAGACGCAGGGCGTGAGAAGGTGGGGCTTAGGGCTGACAGACTGCTGAGCTGAGCAGACGGGGGAGCAAGGTGCCATCTCAGATCTGAGGGACTGCAACGCTCGAGTTCTTTGTGTCTGGGCAAGTGGCTACCTAGAGAGCTGAGGTGTGCTAACCCGAGACTCAAATGAGCCACAGGACAAAACAGACTCCTCCACATGTGGCGTGGCGTGCAGACACGAGGAAGCAGGCACAACTGAGGAATGTGCCAGCAGCTGGGCTGGAACAAGCCCCTTGTGGACTCTCGCTGAAGCCACCTCCCCAGATGAATTCCCTGTGAATTCCAGACAGAGTTCTGTCTCCACACAGAAAATGGACTATTTGCCCATGGGGTCTGGCGCAATCTCATGAGCCAACCAGTCCAAGATCTGCTTGGCTTAACCCAGATCCAAGTCACCTGCAGAGAATAAACTCCACAACCAGTGTCACAGATTTGCTGGAGAGCGGACGAGCCTTCCAGTTGACAAAATGGACCAGAGCAAAACCCAGAAGACAGCCTGGGTTCCCTGACGGTTATTCCCTGCCCTGATCTGGTATTATTGGGGGCTCCAGTGACTGGTCCTCTCCTTGGGTGGAGCAGGCCCTGGCTTCTCTGGGGCCACGGTCTTGATTATAGTATAATAACATAGCATCCAGCATCCACAGACCCTGGAAATTGCCATTGCTTTGAGACTCTCTTCCCAAATCAGATCTGCCCTCAGCCTGAGTGGACAAATGGTCTAGACTTTCAGTGATCCTTCACGGGGCGCCCTTGGTCTGGCCGGGACTTCCCTGGCTCCCGCACCTCCTCCCTCGTCCTCTTGGATGTTGCCATCCAGCATAAGTTACCATCGCCTTCCCTGGCCAGCTCGCACCGAGCCCTAGCACTTTAGGTACTTCATTTCATCAAGCCTTCCCGATGTTCTCTGAAGTGGTGGTATTGTCTCCATTTTAAAGATGACAAACCTGAGGCTCAGAGAGGCCAATACCATGGCCAAAGCCACGAGACAGCCAACAAGACAGCACTTAACCAAGCCTTTACAGAGTGCCTAGAACAGTGCCTGGGACAGTGTGAACTCTCGATAAATGCTTGTCGTGGCAGAAGGAAAACTGCCTTATGAAGATCACGCTGAGAAGTTCACTGGTGCTGTTTAATTTTATCCATCTGAGCACCTGCTTTTGGATCCAGAGTGGACCCACAGAGGAATTGGGTTCAAGGCAACCCAGGCTATAACACACACACACACACACACACACACACACACACACACACACCCCTGCTTTAATGACCCGCCTGCAATTGATATACTGCTAAGTAGCACTTCTTGTACGGGGGAGATTCTATTTCCACACCAGCAGCAAATATGACCTTTGTGTCAGCTGCCAGCTGCTTATAATTCTGACAGATGCAAGCACATTTCTGGGAAGCTGTAGCCACTCAGGACCTCGCAGATCAACAGGCAACGCTGGCGGCTTTGGTAAGATTGATCGGCCCGTGAGAATCCCATTTACAGCCCTAACGGAGCCTTGGTTCACCACGGCCTGGGCACTAATGACTTAGACAGCTCCGATCTAAATCTGTCAGCCAGGGCCGGTGGTGATATTAAAGAACGCTCTATTTATATGAAGCAGCAATTAGAGGAATGCTCGCCAGTGGGCCACCGCTTCCAAGCAAAGCCCCAGCCTTCCAAATGGTGTCATGCTCACGGTTATTTTAATCCGCTTGGAATTTTAGGGATATTAATGTGATGGGCCATCGCAGAGGATTAGCCAGGTTTATTTCTGCTGACATTTCAGAGAGCACACTCAGGTTCCCAAGATGTGTGGCCCGCCTCCCCGGCATATCGCGGGGGGAGGCAGCCAAGGAGGGGGGAGCCGTCTCCTTCAGCTCTGCCCTCCCATCTCGCTCCTCCTTCCCCTGCCTCCCTCTGCCTTCCCTGCCTGCCTCCCTCTGGGCTCTACTCTCATCTCCCTCCTCATCCTACCCTTTTCTTCTTCGCTCCAGGAAACAAACCTGCATATAGGGTTGCCAGATAAAATGCAGCATGTCTGCTTACGTGCGAATTTCAGATAACGAAGACATTTTTTTAGCGTAAGTATGTCCCATGCAATATTTTGGGACATACTTACACTGAAAAACTTCTTTGTCGTGTACTTGAAATTCACATTTAGCTGAGCATCCTTTATTTTCATTTGCTAAATCTGGCAACCCTACGTTGCGAGGGTAGGTATAGAGAGGCCCCTGCTAGACAAAAATGTGCTACACCTTAATCTGCCAGTCACTGTCACCTTGAGAGGGTCCCCAGGGCCCTGTGCCTCCTGTTACACAGTCCCTTACTTTCTGATTATTTTCCCTCACTGTGTCGTCGTGGGTCTCTGGAGGGTGAGAACCCGGCCTATTTGTCTGTGGATGTCCAGGCAGTGACATCTG